ACCTAACGAAGGAAATATTTATTATAACTTGAAAAATAAATTAAACAATACAAATAGTACTTACATTTACATTACACGTTATTATTAAATCGCGAATCGTCTAAATTGACATTTAAAAACAAGTTTTTCTACTTTTCTTGTTAACCGTGTTCTTCTTTATTTAAAATTAAACCAGATTTTAAACATGTGTTCACAAGGAAAAGATTTTGTTACAATTCTACAATATTTTATGAATATAGTGGCTAAGTTAGGATATACATGGCGATGGTTTTTCCACCACGGTAATGTACAGTTCCAATCTCCGTTCGAAATTTATTGTGGGTAATATATTATCAGACAAATACATGTCGACTTCTTGTATATCTCTCGATACAGTTGTATGTTTAGATGAGTCATGTCCAATTAATTCATCAAAAATACACAATGGACTTAAGTCATCTTTATCAGTTTCTTTTCTTGACTAAACTTATTGATTTACTAAACTTATGCAAAGACTTGTTTCATCCGTTTTCTATAGGTGAAGAACCAGCTTTTAAAAAGTTTGCAGGGTGGATTCCTGGATATAAACCGCCAACAAGAAAAACTGTTAGATTCATTACTTCAGGAATGTTATGTCAAAACTGATTTGATAATAGATAAAATAAAAAGTCCTTTTTTCGACAATTCTGCAAAAAACATTAAAAAAAAGTACCTTATCTTCAGAAAGGCTTTTAAAGTATTAATTACAACATAACAAAGTTCCCAAACGGCCAATCCAAGACGTGGAAACTAGGTAGAACTTCACCTATTACAGGTTAAAAAGAATGACTGAGTCAGAAGAGGCAATCCGTTTCACTTCTTCTTCTTTAAGTTCCATCTTCTATCGAAGGTTGGAAATCATCATGGCTATGCCGACTCTGTTGACTGCCGCTCTAAAAGGTCTGCACTACTGCATTCAAACCATTCCCTTAAGTTCTTAAGCCAGGATATTCTTCCTCTTCCCACATTTCGCTTTTCTCGGATTTTGCCCTGCATAATAAGTTGTAATAATGCGTATTTTTGCCCTCTCATCACATGTCCCAAGTACTCAAGTTTTCGTCTTTTAATAGTTAATATTATTTCTGCCTCATTTTCTATCCTTCTAGTTACTTCAATGTTTGACATTTTTTGAATCCATGATATTCGTAGGATTCTTCTGTAACACCAAAATTCAAAGGCGGCCAACTTATTCAGATGAACTTGTTTTAGTGTCCAAGCTTTCAGACCATAAAGAAGAGTAGAGAACACGTAACATCGAAGTATTCTCAGGCGTAGTTCTAACCTTATATCCCGACAACAAAGAAACTTTTTAAGTTTAATAAATGATGCTATGCTAATATTTTAAGTTTAATTAATGACGTGCTATTTCAATACGTGTCTTAATTTCTTTTCTTTTCATGTTCCTAAGTATTTATAGTTATTAACACTCTTAATTGCAGTATCTTCAATAGTCAATTGGATATTTGTGCAGATTTAGTCATGATCATGCATTTAGTTTTCTTTAAATTTATCTTCAGTCCGTACTCATGACAGCGTTCATTAAGGCGTTGCATTAGGTTCTGTAAATCATTGTTGTTATCCGTAATTATTACTGTATTGTCTGCAAAACGTAAGTTATTCAAAACTTCTCCATTGATAGATATACCTTCTATTGAGTCTGAGAGGTTCTTAAAATACCGATCACTGTAGACATTGAAAAGTAGTGGGGACAGCACGCAACCCTGGCGGACTCCTCTCTGTATTTGATATTTTCGGTGTACTGGCGTGTATTTCCGCTCCATCTCGGTATTAAATAATACAGACTTAGACTTAGACCAAATCTAAATAAAAAACACTGGATTATTTTGTTCTCAGCTTTCCCAAATTTTACGGCCGTTTAAAGAAATAACAAGTACAATGAGTGACCAAAAATACTTGAAGGGTAGTTCAGTGATTGTTATGGTACGCGGCCTGCAAGAATCTTGTAAGAAAACTTTAGCAAACGTTAACTTTACTTAATTACTAATATCGGGTTTAGCAAAAATATTTAAAGGGATAGAACAGAGTGGCATATTGTCATTATGTACATTTATGGATTCACCATTTAAAGTGCAGGGTTTTTCTGATAAAAATGAAGATAAAAAAATAAAAGAAAAAGTTAAGAAGCTGGTTACTTCTATAATTAACGAACAAGAATATTGTACTATTGAAAATCAACCAGTACAAGAAAAAGAAACCAATAAAGATGACATAAATCCATGGTGTATTTTTGATCAATTAATTGGAGATGGCTCATCTACACGTACACCTGTATCGATGAGTCCATTACAACGGTGGAAAAACCATCACCATGTATATCCTAACTTAACTTAACGTTAATGTCAATTTAGACTATTCGCGATTTAATAATAACGTGTAATGTAAATGTAAGTACGATTTACTATTTGTATTGTTTAGTTTATTTTTCAAGTTATAATAAATATATCATTAGTTTCTTTTTACTTCAATAAATATACACATAAACGATAATAGCCATTATGTTTGTTTATGTAGGTACTCTCTTACTTGAAACTACTTTTAAACATCATAGTTACTTGTTTACAAAAATTTAAATTTTTAAATTCATTCATTTTTTTTTGGAATCCAGAGAAAACTAACAAATATATTTTGAAAAATTTAAATGCAGAATAAAAGATTTACATTATTACCGAGGGCCGAAAGTCCCTTAGAATAAACAAAAAGTTTTTTGAATGAGATATTTGAAATTAAAAATCACACTAATTTTTTTTTCGCCCTTATAACTTATTAAAATAAACATTATAGAAGTTTTCAGGGACTTTTGGCCCTCGGTAATAATGTATTGGTTCATTCTGCGTTTAAATTTTTCAAGAATATTTATTAGTTTTTATCAGGATTCGAAAAAAATGAATGCATTTAAAAAATATTAATCGAAATTTGCCTACGCTCTTAACGATAAAATTACCACGACCCACCTCTACTACCCGTTACTCGGTGTTCTGACCAGACGGACGACGACGTAGCCAAATAAATTATTGTGTATGAATATTTTTTAATGTGGTGTTATTGTATGCAGTTTATTATTTCATATTGGGAATAAGGCACAATATGACTTTAAAATAAGCTTATTTTGATGTTTAGATTTTTAATTCGGAAATCGTACTTAAAATACGAAACATTAATAAATTTTATTTATATAAAACGATTTCCAAAGGGGAAATCAAAATGTTATATTACACTTATTGTAAAGTAAACTTGTGGCATATTCCCAATAAAAAAAAACAGTAAGCTGCCATTTAAATCAATTTCGCCCAAAATTGGATTATCTTAGAAACATTGTTCAAATGCAAAAAAAAACAACAGGTCAAATAAATCCAATAAGTTTGGCAACGTTGAACTTCCCCTTTCCAGGCATGCATGTTTGGCGAATATAAAGAGGTATATTAGGGCGGACCTAATATACCTCTCTCTTTCTAAACAGCTGTTTCTCACTCCATCTCACGTAAGGTCCATACCGACCATAAAATTTTTCCTACACTGTATATATTCACAAAGTACCATGATGTTTCATTAGTTTGAAAACTGGCAATATCCTTATAGACCATTTTCATATCCGTCAATCTCCAAGCAGTGCAAACAAAAACGGCAATCTCCAAACTAAGATATTAAAAAAAATGAAAAGAAATAATTTCTTAAGTTCCTCGTTCTGGACATCCGATCACAAACCAAATTTTATATCACTCTTCATCAGTTTTATTGTTTTAATTGAATTTTGTTAATTTCTACAAATTTTTCGCCATTTTCCCAATATTATGGAAATAAGAGATTGTCGACTTTGATTTTACACCCCTCATTTTTCTATTTGGCAATGAGATGGTCCATGCACAAAATTTTATTCCCCTCTACAAAGCTTTCTGTGAGCTGGTAGCAGTGTTATGTTTTGGGCATGTTTTATAGCATGTGGACGCACGGAATTGGTGGTTATTGACGGGACTGTAACAGGACAAAGGTACATCACACGGATTTTAGAATCTCCTGTAAGATTATGACGAAGAGCTGTGGGTGAAAATTTTGTATTTATGGATGATAACGCCCGACTCAAGTGGTTAATGACTATCTTGAGACAGAAGGTATTAGCCTTTGGAGTGGCCAGCGATGTCTCCAGATATGAGCCCCATTGAACATGCAAGGGATGTGCTCTCCAGAGTAGTTCATGTCCGCAGGCATCCTCCTAGAACTCATCATGAATTTACGCAGTATCGTTAGAACTCGAATCCAGGCTTGCATCGATGTCCGTGGTGGACATACACTATATTAAAATTGTTAGATACATTTTAATTAGAAATAATTTTTTGTGTTTTAAATTTTTCATTTATTAAAAAAAAGCAGTATCTCTTTTAAAACAAAAAAAATTAGTCAAAGTTATTATATTTTTTATAAATGATCTATAACAGGAGTTTTTGAAAATAGTTAATAGCAAAAATTTTGGGTGATGCATAACTTTAGAAACTATGTGTATTTTCTAGCATTTTTATATAGATAAATGACAAAATTTCACATTCAATAGTATTCTCCACGGTATGTTTTTGTATAACCCTTTAAAGAGGATCGATGTGACAAGAATTTGCAGCACATATCACATTCAAAGGATTTATCTCTAGTATGTAATCTTATATGTGTTCTGTTAACTTGGATATTTGAAAAAAAAAAAAACTTTTGGTGCCAGCCACTTCACATATGTTCTTTTAAATAGGAACTTCGTGAAAAATTTTGGTACAAATTGCACATGCAAAGGATGTAGATGTGAAATTTCAGTGAATTTCAGAAATACATCCAGTGTGTATTCTTATGTGTTTTGTTAAACCCGATTTATGTACAAATTTTTTTGAGCAAATTTCGCATGAAAAAAGTTTATCACCAGTGTGTATTCCCATATGTTCTTTTAAACAGGAATTTCGTGAAAATTTTTTGGCACAAATTTCACATGCAAAAGGGCTATCGTCAGTGTGTCGTCTCATATGATCTATTAAACATGATCTTCGTGAAAATCTTTTGGAGCAAATTTCACATGCAAAAGGTTTCTCACCAGTGTGTCCTCTCATATGATCTGTTAAACTGGATTTATGTGAAAAACTTTTGGAGCAAATTTCACATGAAAAAGAGCTATCATCAGTGTGTCCTCTCATATGTTCTGTTAAAATGGATATATGTGAAAAACTTTTGGAGCAAATTTCACATGCAAAAGGTTTATCCGCAGTGTGTACTTCCATATGTTCTGTTAAACGAGATCTTCGTGAAAATCTTTTGGAGCAAATTTCACATGCAAAAGGTTTCTCACCAGTGTGTCCTCTCATATGAACTGTTAAACTGGATCTCTGCAAAAAACTTTTGGAGCAAATTTCACATGCAAAAGTTTTATCGCCAGTGTGTATATTTATATGTCCTCTTAAACAAGATCTTCGTGAAAATCTTTTGGAGCAAATTTCACATGCAAAAGGTTTCTCACCAGTGTGCTTTCTCATATGATCTATTAAACTGGATCTATGTGAAAAACTTTTGGAGCAAATTTCACATGTAAAAGGGCTATCGTCAGTGTGTCTTCTCATATGTTCTGTTAAACTGGATCTATGTGAAAAACTTTTGGAGCAAATTTTACACGTAAGAGGTTTATCCCCAGTGTGTACTTCCATATGTTCTGTTAAACGATCTCTTCGTGAAAATCTTTTGGAGCAAATTTCACATGCAAAAGGTTTCTCACCAGTGTGTACTCTCATATGTGCTGTTAAATAGGATCTCTGGGAAAAACTTTTGGAGCAAATTTCACATGCAAAAGTTTTATCGCCTGTGTGTACTTTCATATGTTGTGTTAAACGAGATCTTCGTGAAAATCTTTTGGAGCAAATTTCACATACAAAAGGTTTCTCACCAGTGTGTCCTCTCATATGATCTGTTAAACTGGATCTATGTGAAAAACTTATTGAGCAAATTTCACACGCAAAAGGTTTATCGCCAGTGTGTATTCTCACATGTTCTGTTAAATTGGATCTTTTTGAAAAACTCTTGGAGCAAATTTCACATGCAAAAAGTTTATCACCAGTGTGTATGTTCATGTGTTCTTTTAAATTAGAACTGTATGAAAACCTTTTGGTACAAATTGTACATGTAAAAGATTTCTCTCCAGTGTGTATTTTCATATGTCTATTTAAATTAAATTTTTGTGAAAACATTTTGGAACAAATTTCACATGAAAAAGTATTTTCTCCACTAGGTACTGTTAAAACTCTCTCTCTATTAAACTCTTTAGAACAAATTTCACACGTTAAATGTTTTTTTCCTGTAGCGTGACTGTTTACACTTGATTTTAAATCAGAATTTTCTGAAAAAGTTTTGATGCATATTGTACACGTGAAAATTTGCGCTCCAATGTAAACACTCGAATCTGTTTTTAAATGATTATTTGTTGAAAATTGTTTGGCGCAAATTTCAGTGGAAAAATAGTTTTTCTCAGTGTTCACATTCGTTGATGCAGTTAAACATTGGTCCATACTGTCATTAATTCTAACAGGGCCTTTGCATAATTGGCTTGCATCAGTTTGTATATCTTCATGGGGAAAACCTAAAATCGTAATTATCTATTAAACCACTATCATGTAGTTAAATAAAAAAATATTTTATGACCAGATAAAAAAACTCGGATTAGAGTGACAGGGGTTATGTCTAATAGAACAAAGTATACTTATTTGACTGTAAGTATAATAATTATAAATATAATAATTACCATAACTGGAGGCAAAAGCCAGAACACGCAGGCATTGTTCAGTGCGTTCCCGAAAGGGCCGCATGGTTTGTGCAGATTTAATTTTCGTCAATATGAGATAAAAGAAGGGAAAGACTAACTTTTAAGACAATGCTCGAACTACTACTGACCATAGGGAGCAATTTAGTATATGAACAACTAAAAACGAATATTGAATCGCAATGATGTTGCAATGATGTCGCAAAATGAATAAACTGATACAATCTCTATAAAGAGAGGACTACTTGAACTACGAAGGAGACACCTTATTCTGCATTTTATTTAACATCACCCTAAAAACAATCATAAGAAAAGCAATGGTCAGTACGAAGGGGAAAATTATAACAAAAAGCGTATAAATACTAGCATTTGCTGACGACATCGATATCATGGCTAGAGGCAGAAAGGTTGTGATAGAAGTATTAAATTTAATAGAGAAGCGACCTAAAAATTAATTAAGCCAATACAAAATAATTGAATGTTCATAGGTCAAAAGGACGTAGGCAACTACAACTTCGAGAATGTAAACAATTTTAAACATCTAGGCTCATTAGTCACTTCAGGGAATAATATTACAGAAAACGTCAAAAAGAAAATATACAACGCCAATAAAACATAACAGTTAAACACAAACAATTAAAATCTGATAATATAGTAAGAACAAAATGTAAAATTTAAGAAACTTATGAAATCAGTCCTAACATGGATCAGAAACATCGACTCTGCCAAAAAAAACTATAAGAAGCTACTAGTGTCACCAATAGCTCAATTTGGGCTTTACTATTGGATAAATTGCAATACTAATTGCAGCCAAAGGTACTGTCCGAAATTGAGCATTGGCAGTTGTGCAGTCTTCAATGGCAGAGCGCGATGGAGCGATGACCTAATTAAATCTGTATAAATATGTGTGCACAACGGCCAAAAATTCGTTCTGGTCTGGACAGGGCTCCGCAGAACCAGCCTTATTGCCACTAGAGACCTTCTGGTTGATTTAGTTCCCAGAAACTCTGACTTTTATTCTACCTATCGTTTTCCTTGTATTCTTGCAGGATTCCAAGTCCCTAACCGGACTTAGTTTATAATATTTTATTATATTTTTTAGGAACTTTCAACTTATAGTGAGTTCGTACAATATTTTATTTATATTTATCTGGTATTTTTGACTTAAAGCAATTTCATAAAATTTCTCTTTCAGTATTCTAAGTCCCTAATTGGACTTTAAATGGAATAATTTCATATTTTATTTGCATTTTACAGGTAATTGTTGTTCATATTTAGACTTTATCACAAAAAACCATGTGAAATAATATTTTCAAAGCCACAGTGGCCCAAGATTAGTTTTCTCCGAGAATAACAGATGGCGACACTAGTATGGTTTTGGCATTGTAATTTTATACTCAATTTTAAAAATCATAGTGACCCAGGTGACTTGGGACACTCAGGCATTGGCAACGCTTAATTGTTATTGTGATTAATTGAGAAGTTATTTGCGTGTTTCTCATTTTTGTAACAGTGTTTTTAATTAGAAACCTAATAAAAACATTAATGAAAGTGAGAACCAAGGCGCGGAACGCACTACATGTAACGTAAAAGGTGACTTTCTCTGTTATTTAACCAACAATTCAACTGTTATAACCTTTGTCAAATTAAAATAACCTACAAAAAAACATTAAGGTGGTATGTCACAATGTTAAAATTTATATACTTTTTAGGTACAGTTATCGTCACTATTTCAAAACAAATCTTCAAGTTATGATTATGTACGTAAACTGTAAACTTTCTATTTTAATGATATCTAGTTAAAATTTCCAAAAACAGCAGTATTTTTTCATAACTGTACTTAAATGAATCCATGTCATAACTTACGTGGTAACTTGCCTAAAATTGGTATTGTGAAATAATTATTGAACTTAGGTGCAAAATAACTACGTTAAATGATTAACTATCCAAAAACCTTTATTTTAAGCAAATGTTTGTTGTCCATACTGCCGTAATTTTTAAATTAACTGTACCTAAAGATAAAATTACAATTAAAAGCTGCAAACTAGGGATTTTGTTGATGTTACTGTAATAAGTTGGCATTTTGATAGTGAGAAATTGGTTCAGCTATCACTTAACAGATGAGAAAATAAGTTCACGTGTCATTTAGTAGAAGGAAGCAGTGATGTATTAAATAGCGATAGATGCGCGTTTGCCGAATTTAAGAAAAATCTGCAAAACATTGAAAACTAGTTTTGTGGTTATTCCAATTGTCTATGAGTTATGCAGTAACCATAGTAACGAATCACGTGGTTTTGTTAGCAAGGCGGCCCCTCCCAGTAGTTAATATTGTGGCTTCGTTGGACTTTCTATGTTCAATCATGATTGTATACACTTCATCTAATTTATATACCGATGCACGTCATCGGCGTCATAGCCTGTGACGTCACATGATACCAACACAAAATATTTAGGGTGTAGGTGTGTTCTTTTTTAGAATCACTTTACCGAGTACACTGGCATTACAGCCACTAGACATATTTTATTATATACGCGTAGAAATAATATTTAAAAATTTCTATTCATGTTAACTTAAAGAAATACACAATAATATGTTTCATTTAATTTGTATAAATGCATTATAAAGCGTTTTTATCAAGAACATTTGTTCGGAACACACTGTAACTGTATTTGAACGAAGGTAAAATTTTGGCATAAATTGGTAACACTTATTTGACAGTTCCGGTGTTGACACTTTTTGTACTTCATTATTTTGAATTTTAAAGTGAATATCTCTTGTTTTATATTTTTAACTATTTAATAAAATCTGTTCTTTTTAGAACAAAATTAGTGTGTTTTATTTCAAAGATGTCACGTAAGAATTTAAATATTTACGTTGTAGAGATGGTAATACTTGTGCAATAATTATGTAATCTATTTGATTTAAAATGGAGTCAGGATTTTTTTATACTTTGGCAACTATGTCAACTTCGATCTCTGACGTAGATAATGACGTAAGTCGTTATCTAAATTAGATGAAGTATATATAAGATTACCATTTTTTTCCTTGGCACCCTCACGTTATATAATCGTGGTTGAAAGTCAAACTAGGGTCAGTAAACTTTATTGCGGGATTATACTGGTTTCTACATAATATATAAACATAAAAACAATTTGTTTTATTAAATTTTTAAACAAATTTAATTTTTATAGACAAAACAATATTATGTAATGATCGATTAAATTTTGTAGATTAATTATTTCCGGAAGAAAATAAGATTATTGATGTAGAAGAAATGAAGAAGATGATGAAGAAATTTTCTGAGGAAAACACTTCCCCTGTTGACATTCGATATGAAAAAATTGTTATTACCTATATATAATATAATATTATAATAATTATTATAAATATATTATTCATAATTAATGTTATATACATATTTTAGATTTCTTATAAATACTGTTTTTATACATAAATAGTCGATCCAATTACCATAATCCCTTTTTGATCATTATTTACCTGTTTTTCAAAACAATTGCAAATTTCTTTTCAGTTTGGAATAAATATTTTTGGGTAGATAAATAATTCAGAATTGTCGCCTGAAATGTGGGTAATAAAATACCTCCAAATGAATGAACGTTTTGTGTATACCAATGACGTATAATATATAGACCCGGTGAACGCTTTAAGAAGTGTCCACAACATGATTACCTTTGTTATTGTTTATTGTTTTGATACGAAGATGCACGAAGTTAATGATTTCTTACGAAGCATCACGAAGTTGATCTTGTGTTTGAAAACATCATGGACGTATGAAAACATTTTGTAGTGACAAGCAAATTTTATTTTAAATTGTTGGAGAGTTATTTACTTACTATTTTAGTAAAATGCCATACTATTTTATCAAAATAATTATTTCTCTTATAGACGGGAACAAAAAGAAATCATAAATATTTAATTGTTCATTGTAACAAGGATCAACATTATGGCATGTCTTTGATACCTTGTTTACTGTACATTTTGACGTTTCCAATTCTCATTGGCAGTGACATTAGCTCATTTGTCGTGTTTATTGATTTATTTGAATTCATTTTTTTTGGTTTTTCAAATTATTTAATTTGTAGTCTTTGGGTCTGTCATTTGAATTATATATTTTCAAGCATAATTATTGTTAAAACGACAAACTCTTGCTCTCTTAATTTGATTACTTCCGGTAAGTATTTATTTTTAAGCTAACGAGAAAAATAATATTTTCTAATCTACAAATTGTCATTATACTACATGAGTCTGGATATAGTTCGGTCGAACGGAAACTTATTTATATATTTTTGAGATTACTAATTATTATTATTTTTAAGATATGCCTGGAAAAACGCTAAATTGTCAAGCGCAACAACTGAGTTAGAAAGAAGTAATGGAGGACCTTTGGAGCCGCTTTACATCTGTTCAAGAGGTAAAATATCAAATTCATGTTTGTTAATCAGTTCTTCTTCTGCTAGTGGCTATCCTCTATGGATGTTGGCTACCACAATGGCGCAATCGTATTTTATTAGCAGCTGTTCGAAACAGGTCTGTGGTGGTCATACCTGTCCACTGTCTCAAATTCTTAAGCCATGATATTGGGCGGCGTCCTAGTCCTCTATTTCCTTCTATTTTCCCTTCTAATATCAATAGTAGGATTCTGTATTTATTTTCATTTCTCACTATATGTCCGAAGTATGCTAACTTTCTCTCTTTAA